CTCTACCTTTCCCTCACCCCTTTGCCCTCTTTCGTTCTTCCTATTCACTTCCCCTTTGCTTCAGCTGACTCTCGAGTCCTCATTGCATCTGCTTCTTTTTACCGAGCAGTCCTCAAAACGGATCCGAGATCGGACGACCACCAGCTCAACACTCATAGTTCAGACCACTCCTCGGCCTCCATCACGGCCGCCCTGGAGGCTATCCGCGGTGAACTGGACAGCGTCCACGCTGCAGTCGGCGACATCAGTGGCAACAACGGTTTTGAGTCGGGCTTCAACAGCCTCGCCCGGGCGCAGCACTTTCTGCCCGACCTTGTGACCCCGGAGAACAGTTCTAACAACACCCAGGAGTGCTCAGACATCGAAGAGTTCATCAGGGTCGGGGTTTCCGGTGTTAGCGCGGTGGATTCGTCCAGTCTGCCCGTCACCGCTGATCTCCTGCCTCCGCCCTCTCTGGAGGCGACGGACTCTGTTTTCACCCCAACTCCAGTTGGGGACATTTGGCTACATCATTACAACAATCCACAACCCCTGTCCAAGACCGACGAACCTGCGCCTGCACTCGGCGTCTCGATAGACAACTTTTTGCCGCCACTCGAGGAGGGACTGTCAGTGCTTGACGGACAATCTGGTGAGGAGACAGAGGATTGTTCTCTTCCTCTTCTCCAGGCTCAAGCCTACTGTCTGGAGACGGCCTTTGGGGAATTCGCCCTCGAAAGCATAGAAGCCAACCCCTCGCCCTCTCCTCCTCCTCCTCCGCCCCCTTTTCCTGCGGGCCCCTCAGTTCAGGTGCTGCCAGACGTGGACTTAGTTCTGAGTCTAGACGACCAACAGGAGGATCTACCGGGTCTCAACGACGCCCTCTTGATTGCACCCCTGGCCGGCAGATCCATCTTAGACTCTCCGAGTAAGTCGGACACGGCGGATCAGTCTCTTCCCTACTCGGACGATTCAGTGCACGGACAGTCATTTTCGTGCCTTCACAACCGAGACGAGCCATTCGAGGAACCCGCTTCGTACAGGGACGAAGCTGAACTCGGATTCAGTCCTGATCCTACAGTTGACTCGAGCCACGCTACAGAGTCCTGTCTCAGATCTGAATTTCAGTCGACGTGGCTACAGACTGAAGCCAGTCAGCCAGGCCAGACTCAACCAGACCTGACACACAGCGCCTCCCGAGGCGACAGTGGTAACCTAGGCGGCAGCCTGTTCGCAGACGCCAACACTTACGCCGTTGGCGGCAACTTCGGACCCAGTCTCGCCGGCTGCTGCAGCCTGATTGCCACCTCAATAGGCGGGGGCGGAACCACTACCACTGGAGACGAGTTTTCGACTCTTGCCGATCTGGTCTCGACGCGAGATACAAGCAGCTCAGGTCCTGAAGACGAGGTGCACGATCTCATTGCCGAGATCGACAGCCCGGCACACCAGGAAGCCGGTCAGTCGTCAGCGGCAGACGAGCTCAGTGTAGAAGCTAACGTACGACAACAGTCCGTTGACGAGATCTGCGCCCTAGATCAGTCTGATCCGTTTGTCGGTACGGCTAAGGACGTCTCGGAGGTCATGATGATCGCTCAACCGGGCCTCTCTCCGGTCTCCTTGCAGTCCGTTGCCGGCTACTCAGAGAATCGAGACTCTTTTGCCTCTTCACAACTCGATGCCGAGGTGATGCTGGCCCAGGTTGCCTCGGCAACTGCCTCCTATGAACAATATGATCAAATGCAGCAGCATCATGCTGACTTTTATCCAAACAACTTCAGCGATCACCACCAGCCACAAAATGGAGATATGGGACCGCCTAGCTATTTATTTGACGGTGACCAGGCCGTAGCAGTGTCAGCTCGGCACAGTGACTATATGTATCCGAGGCAAGCCGGCATCAGGGCCCCAGCGGAGCATCGAAGCAGCTACGGTGGCAGCAGTGGACACCACGACGACGTGCCCCTGGATGGGGACGAGAATGAGGCAGACGAACCAGATCTGGGCGGGGAGGATGAGGAGGAGGAGGAGGACAGGGAGGGGGTGATGTCGATGGAGCCCGGAGATAGGGTCTCGGAGCCATACCCGCTGACCGCAATGACGACAGTCGATGAGCTGACCAAGTGGGACTTGCCCAAGAGAGCCCCTGGCGTGTCGACCTCTTCGCACTATGACACTGTCGGCGAAGTCGTGAACGGGACGATGGAGCAACAATGTAAGTGGTTGGGTTTCTCGAAGCAGAACTCGAGTCACTCATGATCACTTAAGGTGCTTTACCGATTGATAGTTGAGTTTTCTCGGAGTGAGATTAGGTCTCAGGATTCCATTAAATCCTACCTCATTTAGCCTTCCAACAGAGTTTCTCAAAAGTTGTTCTCATCCTGGGTGGACTGCAGTTTCGACCTCGCATGGGTCTTATCAACACCCTTAGCGGGATTCGAACCACGACAGTGCAGGACGGTAGTTTGATACGCTAACCACTCGGCTACACTGCCATGAGTACCCTTGAGTGACAGGGCATAAGTGAGTTTCAAGGAAGGTCAGGCTTCTGCTTTCGAGGCAAGGCTAAGTGAAATCCAACGGCATCTTCGTGCTTACTCATCCAATCTTGTGAAAATTCAATTAAAGGCATTTTAGCCATATATTCGGTGCATTTGCTAGCTTTGCTTTCATTTGTTATTCTCTTCATCCTTAATTCACATTCATTCAGAAATCCACTAACTCAAGAGTTTTATGTAATCCATTTCTCTTT